AGGCCTCTAACACTAGCTTGCTCTATTCTTTTTCAATTCTATCTGCTTTCTTTTTATTTATTATACACTCTTAAAAATAAAGGTGCTTCACGATGCCATAGAAGAACCTTTTTGTCTAAATGGTTCCATAAAGAACCTTTAACATCTGAAGAACCTTTCTGTTCCACAAAAGGTTCTTTGTGGCGAAAGAAGGTTCTTCAGATTATAAAAAGGTAAGAAAGAGATGGTTCTTTAAAGAACCTTTGACTGAATGGTTCTTTGTGGAACCAAAAATGGTTCTTCTATGGCATCGCTGTGAAGAACCTTTTAAGCACCTTTATTTTTAAGAGTGTATAATAAAAAATATTGTTATCGCACTTGCATGTCATTGCTCTTTTGTTGATTTTGATTGCTTCCATCGTCCTCATTTGTAAGTCGCTTTGGATAAAAGCGGCTGCTAAATGACAATGTAAATCTTATGACATTATGCAATATAAAATATATGAATTTGCCGTCACTTTTTGATCAATTTAATGTGTTCTTGCTCACTCCAGAGCTTTGAATGCAGTGTAATTCAGGAACACATATCTCTACTTGCTGTGGATGTGTTTACTCAAAGAATAAGGTGTGCTGTTGTTGACCCATACAAAATACATATTTTCTAATAACTTGTATTAATTAAAATTAATTGCAATTACAATATCAAGGGGAGTAAAAATAATTAATGGTCCCACTTTATTTTAAGGTCCAATTCTCGCCATTAACAAACCATTTATGATGACTTTTGCCTGAATAAACCCCTAATTTGCTGCTTATTGATAGTTAGTAAGGTAGATATTAAGTTTAGGTATTGTGTAGGATTAGGTATGTAGAATATGTGCTTTAGAAGTACTAATAAACAGCTATTATCTATAGGCATGCTAATAAGCTATAGTTAATAGTGAGAATTGGTCCCTACATAAAGTGTTACCGAATTAATATTTTGTAATGCTTTTGTTTTTATTATGCACCGCTTTTTTTCTTCAGCTGTTATTGTAGTGTCCTCTCTCAGTCGGCGGTGGTCTTCTCCGGTCTCGTGGCAGTGGCAGCGTGACTTGATTTGAGATCTTCCTGTAAGTCCCTCAGGTTCAGTGGGGTTGGATCAGGAAGCTCCAGCCATCGATTTTTCTCTCTTCATCTATTTTAAACCCTCCACAGTCTCTGTCTCCTCTCAGCTTTGGCCTCAAGGCTGCTTTCAGTTTAGCACGGACCCCTGGGGATCAGCTGTACCATAAAGACTACGCCACGGGCACAACCCCAAAGCAGAGCTCCTGTGGCCTGTGTTTGCTTTACTAAAACACACTCAAACAAACTAATGGCGAGATACTCAATCAAACAAGCATCTTTTTTTACGTTAAAGAGTAGGGCTGTGCTGATACAATTGTACATAGTAATTATCTTTCTCTTAAAATTGCATCAGTGTGTTGTGCTTTTTAAAATGTATTTATTTGATATATTAAATACTATTTTTCTATTTTGGGTAGAATCATTTTTTTTCCACTAAGCTCTTCGCAGTGCATTGGATTGCCTTAACTAATTGGACTGGGGCCAGTGTTGTCTTGGGCACTGTAGTCATTCGGTTAGATTTCAAGTAATAGCAGTTGTGAGGTCTCTATAGTAACCGCTACAAACTGAATGGGTCACGACAGGCCTTCAGGTTCTTCTGAAATGAGGCAACGGTTTTCATTATTTGCCGTCTGAGGTCACAAGCATAAGTGAAACCATCCAATCAGTGTTCCATATTACTGTACTCTGATGATCTGTTACTCTACAATTCACTGTGACATTTAGGAGAAACAAGGCTTTGTCTGCTTGACGTGAAACATCACGCCTGAGGGAATGTGCGGCCATCATTGGGCCATCATTGGACTTTTTGTAAAACTGCCGCATTACTTTTCTGATGGTGATCATTTTACTATATATAAAAAAAAAATTGTATGGGTTCAGATCTGATTGAGCTTTATTGACAGTGTCTGTGATTTGAAAAAGTAACACACGTACTGCAAGTCTGGGAACTTGTGTATTTCGTGATTGTTTTTTGTTTTTTTTTCGAACTCTGAATTTTTCGAAGTTGACCTAACCCTAAAGCCCCGTTCACACCAAGAATCATATCTATAAAGATAACTATAAAGATAAAGTTATTAGTGCCCACACCAGCGGACGATATCGTCTGTTTATTCGATACGCGCACTCGTCGGCCGCTTTAAATTCTCAAGCTCGATGGATTCTGATTGGGTGTCAATGTTTTTATTGTTCATCAGCTGGGAAAAAAAATCATTCTGAATGTGATTCCAAATGATATCGTTTCTCTGTGCCTTTATCGTCATAGCGGTGGTGTGGACTCTTGTTGGTGTGAATGCTTTTTTTCCCCCAGATTTTTTCAGAAAATTTCACATTTCAGTTTTTCTAATTCAAAATTTCACATTTAATTCAATGTGTTGTGTTACCTGCCAATTCCTTGTAATTATTTGTGAAATTTACTATCAATTTCTAAGTGATTTAAATTTTTTACGTTTGCACTGTACAAACTTTGCAAATAGTTAAATCATGTTCTTTCTGATATCCCAGCATATATTGTGTGAGTTTAGCGGTTTTGTAAAAGTTGAAATATTCGATTAGTAATCGTTAAAGATTAGCAAGCAATTTAATCACACTATATTGATTATATGGTATGTGTTAACACAAAACTACTTTGAAAGCTTTGTATATTTTAACATTTATCCCAGAGAATGCCTTGCCCTGTAGGCTTCCATAATACGTTTATTACTGTAAATGGGATTTATGCTTGTTTTTCCAAAGTGAGGGCTGCGGTAATCAACAGCATCTGTGGCGAGAGTTTAACTTGCATTTAACCCGGAACATTCCTTTAAATCCTTGTCAGAGGGAAAGCGATGCATTTTTGGCCGTTTGGCCTAAACTGTGCCGTTAGACAGCTTTCCTGTGATAATTAGCCTGGTGGATGTAATCAGAATGGGAAAGTGGTTTAGTTTGGCCACCTGTGTGTGTTTGTACACACGGTCATGTGAGCGTGCTCTCACAAGGTCACTACAACAGCTGCAAGCCTGCTAATCTCAAATAGTGGGCAGGTGCGTGTGTTTGCCCTTCGCGGCACATTTGAGTGCATGAATGTGTTTGCCCCACGTTGAGTGATGGGAAACGGGTTTGTGTGTGTTACAGTGGTACAGTATAGTACACAGTTGGGCCCTCAAATATTTGTGTGCATAAAATGATGTTTTTGTTTGTATTGTGGTTGAATTTCTGCTAAAGTGTTTTTCTGTCTTTACAGGAAGTTTGGGGAGCGCCCTCAACCACAGCGCCTGACGAGGTACGTTTATCACCTTCACATGCTAATAACAAACAAACAAGCTGAGAAAGGCCTCTCTCTGGTACGGCCTACATTTCTGCTTGCAAAATTTGTGAATTACATGACTTACAGTGACAACAGCGGAACTATCCGCACATGAGTTTTCACCTTAAAACGAAGTTTGTCATTTTTAAAGAAAAATGCTGCAGTTATTGTTTAAAAATGGTGAAAAATTTGAAATGTTTTAACATCATGTAACATGTAATTCTACTGTGAAATACTTTTAAATGTTCGATTTTCGGTAAGTAAAAACTATGATTTACCACATAATTCATAATGTGAAACAGTAAAAGGACATTCCCAGAAGTCCCTGCATGTCACATTACATATGATTACATTTTATTTAAATTGTTTTGTTTTGTCTTATTTTTTGTTGTTAGTAATGTGCATTAGCATGTTTTGTGTTACATTTGAGGTTGTTTTGTTTGGTTGTTCGTATATTTAAAAAATATATATATTTAAACTTTTCAGGCATCAGTATGCCATACCTGAAACATTGTCACCATATTTCTATGGTACATTTTTGGCTAACATGAAATTTAACAGGATAATTTAATTTTTACATTATATAAATTATTCAGTTTGCCCTTTTCTTGCAAGTATTGTATTGTATTATATTATATTATATTACAAGTAATTATAAGTAATTTTGACAAATATGCTGTGTATACACACACACACACACACACACACACACACATATATATATATATATATATATATATATATTCTGTATATGTGAAAATAGACTTGTGAGATGTTATATATTCCTACACCACTGAAAAATGAAGCTGCATATAAATCAAATGTAATTAAAAATGAATTATTCTATGTTGGAAAATACAGACAACTTAAACCTACATTTCCTTTCCTCTAAAATCTGGCTGTATTACAGTTGATTTAATGATTTAATGGAAAATAAAAGTACTGTTGGCCTAGGACATCCTGAGCTGTAGTCCACACTGAGGTTTAGTTTTAGTGTCTTAGTGTCTCGCCTTGGAGTTTTTCCATAGCTGCTGTCCCTATTTGTCGCCATCGTTTCACTCTATTTTCTCCCAACCTCTTTCTATTTCACTCGTTTCCCCTCTTGTCTGTCTATTTAATGCTCTTTTCCTCCATCCATCCTTTTTGAAGAGTCGAAATATGGAATGAAATGTTTCAGACTATCTGTTCTGTGAAGCAGCTCCAGTCAGCGGTTCATGTTTTGAGTGGACATGGAAAATGATAGAGAGGGGAGAGTTAAGCGCTGGCCGCCCAACCCGTGCCGCACGCCCTGCGGTTAACTTACAGCACGACTGCA